AAAGAAAAATTGCAATGGAGAACATTCACGCCTGGCGCCAGGCAGCCCCAGACCCACTCCAATCCACGAAACCCATTCCAAGTTCCATTCGAATCCCAGAGGCGGGAACTGCAGCACCATCAGAGGTAGAGATGGTAAAGTACATGAAGCATGAATCGGAACTACAGCAAATGTCTATTATCCAAAGTAAATGTGGGACTTAAGAGCGATAAAGTCATCAACACCAAAGTATACTACTACACTATACAAACTATAGTATACTAAAATTTTCTCAATTTAAATAAGTTATTGAGCGTTAATAAGATTGAAACAACAGTCCGTGTTCATATTAGGTATCAATACTTGATACCTAATCCCAAGTCCTAGCTGCATCACGTTACGAAAGTTGCAGCTATTTAAAGTAATCCCATCTCTAGACCCCGGCGCTTCCAAAGTTCCTTCAGCTAACCGAAAGTGTAACGTTGGAGGGCAGTTTGATGGGTGGCTGGTAAAGAACATTTCCGTGGAGGTTATTGGCAGGCACCAGTCCCTCCAGCCCCCGAAAATCCCGTCAAACCAAACCACCCACTGGATGTTCTCACATGTTTTCCATAACAAACAACAACTTTGCCAGGAGCACCGGGGAAAGTGAGTGGGAGAAAGGGGGACGCCACAAATAATTTGCAAATTACGGGCGCAGGTAATTGTCGTCGTCATCGTGGCTGTATGGCTATATGGTTCCTGCTGCAGCAGGTGAGAAGAAAATAAAATAGAAACACAAAACCGTCGACGACGGAGCGTCGTCATCGCCGTGGCTGCAATTACGCAGGTGGGAGGTCAGAGGTCGCAGGTGGGGAAAACTCCTGCGGAGCGGAGGAGTATCCTCCTGGCGCCAAGTGCCCGAGGATTGGCCTTTGTTTGGCCTTAGAGTTCGCCATCGCCATCGCCCTGGCCTTTTCGTCTGGGACCCACCACCATCAACCATAATTGGGTCATAAAAAAGTTATTTGTGTAAAATTATGAAAATAAACTCAATTGCAATAATTTGCTATGGGAGCATTCCAAACAAAAGACCCGGAACCGGATTACCAGGAAATGATCAAGGACTTGCCGGAATGGAGTTCCCGTGGGCCAAGGAAATTCAAGCTGCGTGTGGCCAATGGAAATGTAAACAAATTGCAAATCGCAGGAAATTTCTACTTTATGGTTTCCCCAGAAAATAAACAAAATTACTAAATTGGAAAGCGAAATATATTCTATAATTGCAAGTTGTAATTGGAGCTGGGTTTTTAAGTGGGAAACGGCTACACCGAAAAAATAAAGATCAATAGAAAACAATTTAAAGATTAATGTATAATATTGTTATTAGTAATCTATTTGTTTTTAGGATGTCATATAAGGAATCACGATAGAAATAATTTATAGTGTAGGCACGTCAACTGAAAAATATAGAATGTGTTTAGCAAGAAACCAAGACAATGATTACCACAAAATAATTATTATACAATTTAAAAGCAAACACAATTGTTTACTCAAAAAAAGAAAATTCCACCAAATGAATATGAAAGCATTTTCGGATAGTAAAACTTAAATATCGCAATTAGAATTTAATTGGCGCCCGTAATAAAATGTCAAAAAAGAACATTAATTAAATGAATCCAGCAACAAATGTCGCAGCCTTTAAACAAAGAATATTTAACAGCATTCATAGCTTGTGGCAAAAGTAAACAAAATCAATCAGAATTATCCTAAGAATTAAAGTCAACTAGTCTGACAATAAATCAATATTAATTTGACTTTGAAGCGACGGAATGTGGGGTGGAAATGAATGAGAATAGCTGCACCATTAAGCCCACATTAAAGACCTGAATATATTGGCGCCGCCCAACTCGGATTTCAGATTCCAGATTTCAGATTTATCCGAGGGCCAAACACCACCCTCCCATCATCAGCTACTGCTGTCAAGTGCAACGGTAAATTGCCATTCGATATGCAAATGGCAGCCGCATTCACAAACGCTGCGCTTTTCAATTGCTTTTCTCTGCATTGAAATCAATTTAACTTTCTGCTCAATGCCAATCATTGGCACCCCACACACACACACACACACACACACACACACACATTGGCCGGGCTATATCAGTTCCGGTTTATAGATGGGCGAGGGGGGAACGACGAGAAAGACCAAGTGCTGTGGCTGAAAAAACAAACAATCAAACGGATCCAAAACGCTTATTTCAAAATTCATTTGTCATTTTGTGACAGGCAAACCAATATTGAAGGGGTGGTCCAAAAGGACGAAGGGGGGGAAGGGAGAGGGTAAGGGTAAGGATAAGGTGGGTGGGTAGTAAGCTCCTTCATGGCCAAGCCGAAGGCAAATAAGCTGAGCGTTTTTGCTGAAATAATTTTTATAAGCATACCCTTTTCGAAAATGGGTATATTAGAAAATAAAACAGAAATTCAAAAATATTTTAAGACCCATATCAAAGTTAAAAATATTATAAAAACTAGAGTAACTCGAGGATGAACCTTTAAACTATAATTTTATTTGGTTAAAAAAGTGTAATATTTTTAAAAAAAATTCGACAGTTTTAACTTTAGTGCACATTTGTTTCTTTTAAATCATTTTTTTATAATTTTATCTTTGGAAGTAGCTTTTACTTCCTCACTTTTACCTAATTTCCATTTTCATTAATACAAAACCTATATGAAACTGAGGGAAACATTTTTTGATTAGCCAACAACCGAGTCCAGAATCGATTCAATGTGGAAAAACTGCACTCCGTTCTTTTGCAGAACGGTGAAAAGGGTGTTGCGGCATGTTTTTGGTCCGCTATTTTTCCCGGTTCCTGGCCGAGTCTTTTCCGTTTCGCCCGCGCCAGTTCCGCAATCAGGAAGGAACATGACATAACACAACGGTAATAGGAAAATCATCGATTTTATTTGATTTATTTGCAGGAACCTTTTTTCCACCACCCTCCCCTCGCCCAGATGTTGTTTGCTTTAATCGTTCGCCCTACCGAGTTTTCCGCTTTTCCCGCTGCGTGGGTTCAACCACCGAAAAAAGCTCGGTTTAAGCGTGGTGCGTGTGGGTGGTGCGGGCAATAAATCTCGGAAATTGTGTCAGAAAATGTTTCTCTGTCACACACATACACACAGAGGCTCGCACAGAAATACCCACACAGAGGGGTCAGGGGTCAGGGCGGCCATATTGAAATTAGAGGCACTTCCGTTTTGGATTTGCCTGTGTGTGTTTGTTTGGTTTCTGCGGTTCTTGTGTGGGTATGCGAAACTAAGTGCCGGAAAGATATGCGTAACGAATGCCCAAAGAACTCTATGTAGGGGAGAGCCTCCTTTGAGGTCGAGCCCTGCGGGGGAATCCCCGTTTTCCATTCCTGACTTTAGGGTCTGGCAGCTTATTTCTGTTTACATTTGCGCTCAACCACTCAAATTCAAAGGTATTCCAACGACCATTTATATTTAGTTTTTATTTGTTTGTTTTGGTACGATAATTGGCCCACAAGCAAGTGCAATAAAAAGCACAAGTAATTTCTATAAATACGAACTGGTGTTCCATTTAGTGATGATGAATTGTAGAGATATTCAGAATTAATGGGGGGCGCAACAAAAAAAACGAGTGGCTTATTATAAAAGTGAAAGTACACCGAAAATAATAATATTTACATCGCACTCAATAATTATTATAACTCGAGTACATCAGTGTTGTCGATTAGATCAACATTGTCCAAACTATACATCTTTCGAGAGAATTTAATTTCTTTTCAAATGAAAAAAATCAACTACATATTTCTGTTTCTGTGTGGTAAGCAAAAGTAAACATTAAACCAAAATATATATGGCAATTCTAAAATTAACCTTTATGCATCAGATCTATTTGAGTTGAGTTTAGCCATACGTATTTGTTTACCAAAGAGATCTTCAGATTCCAGCGACCTTCAACTCGGACCCCGGCAAAGTCATCGATCTTAGGCACTTGACGGAGTTCAAATACGACCAGTTCCGCTTCGATTTGCGACGAGAACTATTTGCGTAGTAAAATCTAAATGCGAAAATTAGCCCAAAGCGAATTTGATAAATGTTGATGGATTTTTGCCGTTTTCGTTGACTTCTGGCTCCGGTGACTTGGTAATTTGGCGGAGCGAGTGAGTCGCGTGTGGGCCGAAACACAAAACTATTCATTACGAAAGAAATAGGAAAAAATAAACTGAAACCGAAACAGAAACAGCTTGAAAACAATCGACAATGGCATAGTTTTCGAGTGTGCGCCGCTTTGTTTTTGTGCAACTCGCCAGTCTATTTTTATCGTCATGCAGTTTATTTATAAAAACGGCATTCGGTTCCATTATCTTAAAAATAAAATCACACAAACTGGCGAACGAACGAGCAGTCAACAATAGCGAAATCAGCAATAATGACTGACAAATAATCATGAAAAATTACCAAGAGGCAGGCAATGCTTGAAAAACACAAATAACAAATAACAAATCACAGAAACGACAACAATTCAGAAAACCCAAAAAGTAAGACAAACAAAACAATCAAGAGAACACCTTTGAATCGAAAGTTCGCAGAAAATGCTTATGAATCAGCGGGACCAAAAACGAAATGAAATCATATTTCTCGAGCGCCTCCCCAGATTGCCAGGGCAAATATGAATAAGAAACAATAATAATTACCCAACAGCGATGCGGCTGATTGCTAATCTCAGAATGTCGCATCTGCCAGATACAATTTACGTGCCGCTGCAGCAAAGGTATAACTGCCTTCCGCCTCTGATATACGGTATCTTGTATCTTATATCTGCTATATGGTATATGGTATCTGTATCTTGCATCTGCTACCCAGCTACTCAACTACTCGTTACTCCGGTGATTTACAGTCCCCCGAAAAAGAACGAAAAGAGTGTATAAATATTTAACACTCTGTCTGACTGTCGCTCAGCCTGTTTGTCTTTCAAGGTTCAGCAAATGTGTAAATAAATCAAAAGCCGTTGGACTTACATGGAGCGAAATGTGATGGATGCCCGGGCGAGGTATGAAGAATTGCATTCGGGGCGATTCTGAAAGAGAAAAAGGTTACAGAGTTTATTGGGAGGGTAAAACATACAAGTGCTGCAAACAAGTTGTATGATAAGTAAGATAATATTTACAATTCCCAAAGTGTAAGCCAAATAAATAGAGGCATAAGTTATTGGGGAGTAATAAAAATAATATAAAGATATATTTTCATTATTAATTTTATTCATAGTTAAAGTTAGAGCTTAAAATCAAATATTTAATAATAAACATACCGATGTATTTTACTCATACTTTTCTGTTCAATTTTTATATGATCAAAAAACTATTTTTGAATTTGTAAAAACCTGTGCACGAACTATGTACATTCGCCCTGTTACTCTGCTTCTTGGTAAATCTCTCGCTGTGGATTTATCTGCTATCAGCTTAACTGAATAGTTTCATTATACGCCGTATCGTGGCTATATCTTATCGGCAATATCAATGCCATGACTCACCCATACCCCATAAACAAACCCCCCGGCAAGCTTTGCTCACCCCTTTGCACTCGCAATTGATTACGGCGCGTACCTCAGTTCCAGTTAAGCGCAAATATTAGCACTGAACCATCAACCCCCGACCCCCTTTGGCGCACACCCATGCAAACGAAGAACCCTTCCTGTTCCCTGCGAGTTAGAAATTCCTGTATTTGGGTGCGTGAGTAATGTGACGACATTAATTTTCACACTCATTACAACTCCATTAGGAGGGTCCGAGGACTGGAAGGTGGGCTGGAGAGGGTTGCACCGGACAGGGGCTGCTTGTAGGTGGTTGTCCCGCCCCAGAACTGTGCAAATGGAGAAAGAACGAGACACGAAACCCCATGGACGATATCCGAATGCACGCACGAGAACTTTTTGACCCACCCATCCTACACCTCTTGAAAATAAAAAAACACATCCCACTTTTTCTTGCTCCCTGAACTTGCCATGAAAATGTCAACAGAAATTGTACTTTGTGTACAAATCGAGGTCATTACGAATGCCTTAACGGGGTAAATGGAAAATAAAATTACCCAAAAACTTAGGGTAATCCAGGGGGTGAGAAAAAACAGAGCTGTCACATCAAAACGCATCAAATATGCAAAGGAAAGATTTAGTTTAAACGGACTTGCACTGCTGGAATAAATGAGGGTCAAGGATTTGCATATATTACAGAAAAGCCACGAAGGTTTCGGAAATACCATTAAGAGTATAAAATGAAGTACTCACTATTCACCTCTCAAGAAACTTTAGCAGAAAATTAGATCTCAGCGATTTAAGTTATTTCCTGAACTCTGTCTTTAAAGGCCCAGCACACTTTTTTCTTTAGTGTAAACCGCCCTTTGACGTTATCAACTTAAAAAATTAACAACATTATTGCCGAAATGTGTTTTGTCTTTATATTTGATGACCATTCCCGCCCTGAAACGTCTATGCCCCAGAGGGAAAGGCCCGCCAGACACGCAGGACTCGTCGGCCGGACGGGCAAAACAGCTGGGAAAACTGAGAAAATCTATCGGTCAAGACACAGCCGACGACGAAGACATATTGGGCCTCTTCACTGCCGTTCGCTGTCATTTAGAATTCAGCTCAGCGACAGCCCCAAATTTCAACATTCCGACAAATTCTTGCGCCTCTTTCTTTCAAATGCAGTCACGTAATTTTCGAATTTCCAACAACACCCGAAAATTTCACTCTCCCGTTGGGTGAGTGGTTAGCAGAAGGAGAATGCCCGCTGCGCTTATCGTTAGACAAAGCGACGGCATCAATTTGTATCTGTAAATTAGTATTCCGCTGCAATTTGCCACGGAAACACCAAAAACACAAACAACGAAAATACTTTATACCATCGAATCCGGTCGGTCGGTCGGTCGGTCGGTCAGCTATGATGATGATGATGGTGCTGGTGAATGGGGCGCTAGCTTTATGCGGGATCTCTGTTCGGCTCGGATATCCGTCCGCACGCATATGCCATCGAATCTCATTTTGGCATTGGACAATAATCGCATTAATAATGCGTTTCTGGCCGTCGCCCCATGGCGTTCCGGCTCTCCAGTCGATTCGATCTGAACCGATTCGAATGTCAGGACCCTCATATATCACACACCCAGTGACTCACTCACTCACTCACTCGCTCACTCGCCTATTGAAATTAACAGTTAATTTAACTAATAATTGTTTAAATAGACCTTTATCATGATGGATTTCGTTGTGGCGTTTGTTGGCTGTTCTGGTGTCATGGCCTGTCAACACTTTGCCCCGATATTCTGCTGGTTTGGTTAGTCCATGTCCACGTCCATGTCGGCAAACGTGTCGGAGTGAATTTGTGGTTGTCTGGTTAAATGCTGTCCAAGTTAAAGTTCGTTTTCGGTAAAAGCGCTTTGTGGGGTTTAAAATATTTATGGACGGAGCTTGAGTTCTCCCCATATCCATATTAGTGGGGTTCTTTGTGGTGTGTGGGTTTTCGGAAAGTTAAGAAGTAAACATACACATGTCTTAGTTGGGCTGTTTACAATACTTTGTGGTAGGTTGAAATGCTAATTGGCATATATTCAAGTTGTAGATGTAGTAAATTACATTGAGCAGATAAAAATATGTACTGGTTGAATTATACTGTTATCCATCCATGTCGACTTTAATATTTTAGCATATTCCCTAATAGCTCTAATGGCTCAATGGCTTTATGGCTTTTCCTCGAACGACAGAACTAATTCCCCAATCCATTCCACTTTTGCCTCGTCCAAGCCCTGACCAGATAATCCCATTTGGCCTAATAACGCCCTTGACTATCCATATGCTGCATCTACTCCCACAGAAATATGGAAAAAAATGCTTTCAACGCTCAAATGGCCTAATCTGGTGCTATCCCCTCATCCAATCCCACATTTCTCCTATGCTCAGGGAAGGAAATCTCGAGGAGCTGGCAAGTTCAAAGCAAAGCTGAGGCCAATCACTGACCCTACCTACACAGAAATCTGTTCGCTTCTCCGGATAGTCGGATACTTGACACGAGCACAGCAAAAATGAAAATAAAATCGCCTCATGGCGTCCAGTGCGAATGGAAAGGCCGAGAGACATCCACAGATGTCTCCCATAAAGATGGGAGGCGAATTATCAGCTGATTTAGTGTCGGGTCAGTTGGCAGTAAAATTCCACACTTTTCTTTACAATTTCAAACACACAGGGTGAGCGCGGAGAAAGGAGGAGGAATGTGACATCAATTGACACGAAAGTTCAGCGTAAATATTTGCCCAGATAAAAAGCAAACACTCGGTACAAAGAGACACCCATAAATTCCAGCGGTCACTCTTCTCATTCACCGAGAACTCGTGACTGAGTGTGTGTGACCATTTAATGACAAAGAATGGAAAAGAACAATTTGCGAATGTGCGACAAACAAATGGAGACATCGCGGCCAGACTCCAATTGCCAATTCCGAACTGGATGCAACGCCATATACAACAGATACAGTCCACTGGGAAAGAAGGAGGATGGTTGGGAGGTGCCTGATCATCGCATGATTCAGAAGAAAACTAATTAGTGATGGATCATTATTTCGTACTTTATGGTTATTGCAATGCTTATGAGTAGGTGGCCCATATGTATGATGAATCATTTCTGATGTTGTAAAGGTTTTTCTCGATAGACATGTGTTCAAACCTCTACAGAATATCACTTATATCTGTTATGCTCTCAAAAGTAATCTTCTTGATTTTACTTATTCCTGTAATCCTTCATTATGCCAATGCTTTTCACAACTCCCCGATTAAATGGAAATTCGCCAGCGCATGCAAGTTAACCCTCTTTGCGCACTTTATTGATACATCAATTATAGTATTCCATTTCTGATGCATTCGACTTATCCATCATTTCGATTCGTCATCCGTTTAATTTGCCTGTCGCCGTTCCACCGCGAAAATTGCATTCGGGTTGAGGCTGTTTGTTCGCAAGTGTGATGTTTTTTGCTCCCTTTCGCAATTTATCAGCAGCTGCCTGTTATTTTTGCCACAATGATGCGAACGGAACGGAGGCGGTAATTCCATGGCGTCATTATTATTATATTGTTCCGAGACCAAGGCCGCGCCAAGTCCGAGTCTGTGGAAAATCGGGAAATGGAAGGCGAATTGACTTCACAACCACCCGCCTGGCACGTGAATTGGAAATTGACGACATCGCCACTCAGGGCTCATAATTTATGCGGAAAAAATCGCAGATTGCCGGGCCTAAAAATAAACAAACAATGCGTTGCGACAAGCACGGGTTTCACCGGAGATCGGTGTGAATGCCAACTAAGTTTCGTTTAATAATCCGGATTATACATAATTGCTTTATTTAACTCAAGAAAAAATGTTTAGATAAGTCAAGGGATCATTCTGAACACCAAATTTACAATGAAAAAGGGTAAATGATAGCTAAATAGTTGAAATTAAACATATATCAATCATCGGCAATATTGAGTTTCAGAATATTAATTTTAAATGACATCTTTGAATATTCGATTCGGATCTTTGGATTCAAACTGCTCCGTTTATCTAATTTCTATCAGACCATTACTCATAGAAGCAACCACCAGAAAAATCCCGTTGCCCCAGAGAAGTGGTCGATAAGAAATTATTAGATATGTAAATGTGCAAATTCAGTGGGGAAAAAAGCGGGCAGGCTACCCCATCGTTCCACCCCCAAAACACGAGCGGACATTGAGTAATAACATTTTAATAGCCATTGAGATTAATTGGCTCGGGCCAAGGAGGCGTGCTGAGGACTGAATCATGCGATCCACTAGAGAAACTATAACTGGCGACAGAGACGGAAAGAGAGATAGATAGCCAACTATGCAGATTGTTGAGTCAAATTTTAATTGACCACACGAGCGGGTCATAAAAGTGCGGAATTTGTATTGGTTATAAGCAAAACAAAACAAACGAGCAGCCGAATACACAAGTTTACCCGGCATGAAAAGCGAAAGGCGATTGCATGATAAGCTTGCCTTCCCAGCTGACTGGGCACCTTTGGTAGGTAGTCGG